ATGTATGTATGTATGTATGTATGTATGTATATATATATATATATATATATATATATATATATATATATATATATATATATATATATATATATATATATATATATATATATATATATATATATATATATATATATATATATATATATATATATATATATATATGAACTGTACTGTATATTGTACTGTGTGCAACATTTCATGAGCATTGTTAATCCTACAAACATAACACTACTTTACAGTATGTACGGTACTGTACACTTTATACATAACATACACTTCACAGGTACTGTATATAATTGTTCTAAAAAACCTAAGACTACACTCCATACATAATACTTAACACCATTTGTACAGTAACATTTCACAGACACTTGATCACTGTCAGAAGGTCTACCTGTGATGAGAGGCACATGTAAACTGATGCTCACAGGCTGCCAACTGAAGCTCAAGTGTGGGCTGGCTTGCCAAGTTCTTGTGTGTGACTCTGGGCTCCTGCTAACTTAGCGCCAATTTGCCGACTGCTAAAAAATGTAAAGGTTATACAGTGCCGTGGCGAGTTATCACAAATTCCAACTTATCAGATGTCGAGTTATCAGGGCTGGATTCAGGAGTGGGCAAAGTAGGCAGCTGCCCAGGAGCCTCCACGTGTACGGTAGTAGCTATATCAGGGTTGGTCGACTTGAAATCACATGAATGACTCCAGTCATGTCTTACTTTTGTGTGTGTGTTGGGAATTTGTACACTATCAATAAATATACAGTTAATTAAAAATTTCTCAATGTTCTAATTTCCTCAATATAACTGCATATGGCTTCAAAATTCTCCAAAGAAGTGTTCAAATTTCAAAATTTTCCTGGGGGGCTTACAGCGCCCCCCGGAACTCCCAGATGTTTAGGCTTGCTTCACTCGCCACCCCACCCTCTTGGGTAGTTATAATGATGGGGCCTCCACAAAGAGGCTGCCCATGGGCCTCCACAGGTCTAAATCCGGCACTGCGAGTTTTAGAGGTTTTACTGTACAGGATTTTTTTTCATCAATTAGTACTGTACTGTACTCACAAAAACTGTAATTGTACAAAAAATCACCTCAAGAAATATATTTGGTACAATTATGGGATGGACATTATAAATGAAGAGTAAAGTGACTTATCAGTCTTAGATACTGTACAAAGATTACTTCCGTTCTGGTCAATGCAGAAGAGGGTTTACTAAAGAAAAAAAAACAATATTAATTCATATGTAAAGAGGTAATACAGTCTCTCTTCGACTTAAGACAACCCCGACATATGGTGGCCATGGTCGAATAAAATATTTTTCACATTACGTATTTTCTAGTCCCGATGTTAGTGATCGCGCTGTGTACTGACAAAATTTCCATTTGTAATTCCCTTTGAAATGGCTGGCAAGTGTTAAAGTGAGAGTTCTCGTGGTGCTGAGAAGAAAAAGAGACACCCATTTTAGAATTTCTATTTATTATTTTCGCCTTTTCGACTTACGACCTGGTTGTCGGGACGGAACCCTGTCGTGAGTCGAGGACAGACTTTAGAGGTTTTCCCTGTGAATATTTAATACTACAGTACGGTACAGTACATTTGTTATCACATTTGGTGATATGCTTGCTCTTAACTGAAAATACCTTTGCATTTTTCAAAGATCTCACTCTTTCCAAGTAAATTGGTGACTGTCATTGATTAAATATGTCCAAAAATGTGCCACCAAACTGGTGCCTGCACATTGGCACCTCAGTTACCCAGAGAGCTTAGAACGCCTGCAGTTGCTTAGCTTGTACTATAGACGGGCAAGGGGTGACTTAATATAAGTCTATAAGCACTTCAGTGGACATTACTCAGTGGAGTGATTATACCTGAAGCTAACAGAGGCCTGCCCCACCAGAGGTCACAGTCTCTGGATGATGAAGCCACAAATTCAGAAAATTGTGAGGTCAAACTTTTTTGCAGGGAGAGTTGTGAACTTTTGGAATAAATGCCAGTGTTGTGACAGCACTAAGTGTGAGATCATTTAAGATCATACTTGACCAAAACTAACACAGTACAGTCAACCCTCACTTTACGCGGTTAATTCAACCCACAGGGTACCGCGGAAAGTGAGAAACGCGTAAAGTGAACAACATAACATATGGGATTAATTGAAATAGAGACCGGGCCGACCCCCAAACTCCACTTTTTGACGACACACAACTATGTTGTAGTAAAAATATTATCTTAACTTTATGATGGTATGCACACACAATTAATATTAAGAGAAATATCAATAATATTAGGTTTTTTAAAACTTACATTAGTAGAAAAGATGGCTGGGCACACAGGGATGAGCAGTTGGTTCAGAGGCAGAGGGCAGATTATTGGCCCTCACCTGTATCACTTGTATCAATTGTATCACTATCCACCACAGAGGCTTGCAGGGCCTCTTTGTCAAACCCCTCAAAGTCCATATAAGTCCATATCCTCACTATAATTATCACTATCACTGACTTGGGCCGGCTGTGGTGGGTGGCAGGTGAAGAACTCGGTAATGTTTTGATGACTGGGCGACCTTGTGTGCACCATGCTCAAGCCGCTTACACAACATGGCGGATGGTGGGAGAGGGCGGGAGAGATGGTGGGAGGTTTGGATCCAAAAATGGCGCGGCTCGCCAGCCGCTCTCCGCGTAAAGGGGTACACGCCTGCAGAATGTGAGCATTCCTGTTTTGGCAGGGTACCGCGTAAACGCGGAATGTGGGACCGCGTAAAGCGAGGGTTGACTGTACATGCCCAGTACTTGCCAACAGTGTGTAACAGACACATGACTGACCACCCAAGTAGCTAATGGGTAGGTTGGTGTGTGTGTGTGAAAAGGTGCTGTTGCCATGGCAGATTGGTCGGTGATTCTTAGTCTACATTGTTTTTATTACTGGCACTAGCATAGCTGTTACAGTTTGCCACAGTTCCACCTGGTACAGTGTCTGGTGCAGTTGGTAAAAAGTGGCAACTGGCAACTCTGTGTTTATTTACATCATAGTAAAACTACCAGAATGACCTTAAGGAACCTCACAATAGTATCCAGACTAGGGATGCTGAATGCAAGTATTTCTGGCTAGTTTATAACTTTAATACATAATGTGTATTTCCATATAGAATATCATTGGCTCCTATCTGCTGTTTGCTGGATGATAGCAGTGTGGCGATTTAATGTGATGTAAGAAGATGGAGGATTGGAAGGTTCTCTGTGCCGGACAAAGGTGCTCCAATCCACTGGCGTGTTTTGTAAGCAATCTTAAATCTATGATTGCTGATATTTTATTTATTTATTTTTTCAACATTGAGGTAATCCGATAAAACATTATTGCATTCTGTCTGCTACATTTTGTGGACAAATTTCGTACTCTTCATGTTAACCTTAGGGCAAACCTGGGACATGACAAGATGTGCCGTCGCATGGGGAAAATTTTTATTCATATACATTTGTTGTATACTAGAACAGTAAACTATATCATACTGATGCATTAAATAGGTGTGTAATAGGAGACAATGCATTTGCATCTCGTAAGAGATATTTGGTGTGTTTAAAGTGAGTCTATCACACTGAGATGAGGTAGGGTGAGTGTGTTCCCTGTGAAACACTGATGGCCTGTTAACTTTTACACTTGTGTATGTTAGAACAGGCAGTCAAAGGCTCCATTTGGGATACATTACTAACCTGGAGTACACTTACTAAGATTTATACAATAGTGTACAAGTATTGTAAGAATACTTTTTTGATTGTGTGTACAGCTGGGGTAAGTTCTGAATGCTACACTCTCCCACAAATGTGAACCCAGTCAGTGTGAAACCAGTGAATAACAAAACACCTGGTAGAGTCCATCATCTGGTAGCAGAGGGTAGAGGGTTGGGTAGGAGGTGGTAGGGGTGTAGGGGTGTGTGCAGCATACAGTTGTCATGTTACTGATTTCTGCTGGTTAATTATAGATGTAGGTAGAAGGGGACACTGTATTATGACGAAGACAATGATACCTGTTTATAAATTCCATATATATGGTGACGTCAACAATGTCAGTAGCCAATCACAATGCAGCCGAGGTACTGTACTGTCAGGATCAGAGAAATATTAAAGCTTATTATCAGCTCTGACTTCTCACAATGAATAGGCAGGAGGGACAACTAGCTTTGTAAGGAAGAAATATGGGCCTTCATCTATCCTTATTATACAAAAACAATACTTGGCAACTTCCTCCTGCACACAACTCTGTGAATCTACCACCACCACCTAACCCCTAGTCATCCACCTCCCTCCTTACACAATGTTACCAGAATAACGTATCTCTTCCAGCTGCTTCAAGTTTATTGGTATCCCATTTGTAGGGTTCAAATTCATGGATGGGTGTAGCACCAGTAAATTTCCCCAGTTTTACATTGTTATATACCTCACATACCTGCTTATGCTTTTCAGTATTGCTGTGTTGTTGCTGTAATCCTTAATGACATGAATCCTCATTTGTTACAAAATAATTTGAGAATAACATGTAAAATTTCAAGAAAAGATGATAAACAAGATAATAAATTCTGGTTGGATTTAAACTCATTATTTTATTGTATAAACAACAAATGCAATGTTTCTTTTAAATTAAATTTGTTGTTTGCGTGCCGAGAATGCAGTTGACGTGCAGATAATTAATGAGTATTGTACAGTATATCAGACTGTTCTTTAGTCTACAGACATAAAACTTGTAAGTATGCCAAGTCCTACAGCAAAAAATCTAACCTTATGTGAATTTGTTTTTTTCATCTGTTCATCAAACTATTTTTTTTAAATTTACTTTCAAGAAAATACTTTCGTTACAATTATATTTGAGTGCCTTGGTGACCTTGTATGATGCCCTTCATTGAGCACTCAGACTATGTAAGTGTTACACTTTATATTATGAATTGATGGTCACATGTAAATACAGTATGTAGCTACAGTACAGTAAATAAAGTTCTCAAATATGTTCTCTTTTGGTGCAGCTATGCAATGGTGGCTACATTACCGAGGTCATCCCAACAAAAAGGAATGGAAGTGACTCCCACATTGTAAAGCAACCTGATAAGGATTCCTTGGCACCAGACTTATTCCCCACCATGGCAGCTGGGGAGAGGGGAGATACCATGCAGGTGAATGAAGAGGACTGGATGTCACCTGATCTATTCCCTACAATGGCAGCTGGGGAGGAGAAAGATATCGTGCAGGTGAATGAAGACTGGATGTCACCTGATCTATTCCCTACAATGGCAGCTGGGGAGGAGAAAGATATCGTGCAGGTGAATGAAGACTGGATGTCACCTAGTTGATTTATTCCCTACAGTAGCAGTTGGGGAGGAGATCTAACATTATCAAACACATGAATAAAGGTTGTTTGAGGGAATATTCTTTTCAGTATTGACGGGCTGCTTAAACTTTCTAAACTGTAAAACCTCCAGACCAGAATAGAATATTTTGCCACTTTAAAACAGACCTTTTCATGTCAGAAAATAAATATAGCTGAAGTATTTATCGTATTTCACAGAATATAAGATGCATCCCATATTTCAGCAGGGAATATTTAGAATTTTTTTTTTTGTGTATTTAATTATTTAATGTTTATTCCTACTAATAGGGAACATGATACAGTAAGTCTGTATAAAAGAACTAAATTTTCAATTATAATTCTGGTAGGTAAACCCATTACCATAGTGTTTATAAATTGAGGGTAAAATACCATAAAGTTAATTTGTTAGCACTGCCCTTGGTGATATGTTATTACCAAATTATTGTTGTTATGATTGTTACTCATTGTACTAAGATGACAATACAGTACTATGGTAAGCACTGTAAAAACATGAAATGGCAAATGAATAGTAGTCTTTGTTGCATGCCGATAGATGACGTTAGGTGCTACTGAGACTACGAACGAATGGTGATGGCTGTCGGTGTTATTCACCGTTTTATATATATACAGTTTTACCCCGCCTAACGCGGTTTCACTTAACGCGTTTTCGCATATACGCGGTGCCTTGCCATAGCTGAACTTTCACTTAACGCGGATTTTTTCCACATATACGCAGTGAGTGTCCGAGACGCTATTTTTAGATTTGCCCCACCCGCCACCCTGCCTGACTGCCTGTTTTAGCTCATAAAATTCATACAAATTACCAGGCCAGAATATAATTTACATTGCTGGAATTCTTATAATTTGGTGATCATTTTGAATATAAACATCATATATTTTGCTTTAAACTTACAATTTTTAGATAAAAATTTTTTCTCTAGGTAACTATGGTATCTTTTGTGCAAAATATATGACATTTATATTCAAAATATTCCTGGTCTTACAAGGAATCCAGCAATGTCAATTATATTTTCCTAACTTTAGTTTGAGGTTATCCCACACATCTCCTTGGGACGGTTGGTGGGGGGTGGGGGGGGGAGGGAGGGACCGACCGACCATCTGTTAGCCGGCTGTGTAGTGTGAGAGGGGAGGGAGTTGAGTCCATTATTTGAATGGACATTAACTTGGCGACTGTATTTCTCTATTTCTCTTAAGTATTAATTGTGTGCATGTACCATCATAAAATTAAGATGTTATTTTTACTACAACATAGGTATGTGCCTTCAAAAAGTGGAGTTTGGGGGTCGGGCCGGTTTCTATTGGAATTAATCCCATATGTTCTGTTGTTCACTTAGCGCGGATTTCACTTAGCAGGGACCCTCTGGGTTCAATTGACGCGTTAAGTGAAATATAATATATATATATATATATATATATATATATATATATATATATATATATATATATATATATATATATATATATATATATATATATATATATATATATATATATATATATATATTTATATATATATATATATTTATATATATATATATATTTATATATATATATATAATCTGGTTCACTCCCTATCACTTCATACAAGCTAATATCACCCATCATTGGTGCATCATTCCCCAAGACTCACACACCAACATACTCCCTGATCATTCACTTACACTGCTGCTGCTTTGATTTTCATTCCCATTTTTAAATACTGTATCTGGCATGGAGAGCAATAATGTGGATGGGGAACTAGCATAGTTGAATACAGCTGTGTGATGCTAAATTCCAAAGTTTAAAAGCAAAATATAAATGGGCAAAGACAATATAATTAGTGCAGGTAAGCAAAAAAGGTTTTAAAGACAAATACTGTATTATTATTATTATTATTATTATTATTAACTGTTTACCTTTCAGTTTTCTTCAATATTTTCATAGTGCTTTTTACAATCTATATTGTAGGTTTCCCTTAAAAATCTACAAAATCCCTCTTGCACCTTGTCAACTTGGTCAGGTGGACAATAATCATCCAGGCTAGAACGAGCAATAGTTATTATCACCGGTGCTGGGAATTTTGTTATGAGATATTGTGAAGATTTCATCAGCAAGTCAATTTCCTCATTACTAGAAATGTGATGAGGAAGTTCATGAACTTCATCATCACAAGTACACCCAGCATCATGTACCAATTCCCAGTCAACCTCAGGTCCGTATTCATTTGCCAAGTCCAGAATAAGTTTTATAAGAGATTCTTTTTCCTGTTTATCTTTTACAATTTCACATATATTAAATATCTTTCTTTGAATGAGGTCAATGTCTTTCAGTTCTTGGAGACCAGAAAATATTTTTTTTAGTGTTGCTATTTGTTCACATCTTTTTGACTGTAAGTCTATGATTTCACTTTCCTGAGAAGCAATGAAGTCAAAATGATAAATTTTCCTCAGTCTATTATACATGTCTACTTTGTCGAACATAGAAACAAAGGGATTCATTGTGGTAAAAAAATCTAAATCAATATCTAAAATGTAGTTTTCTCCATGTTGTTGAATCAAATTGATTATATTTTGCTCTACCTTTGCATCTGATTCATATCCTAGTGTACAGACATAAAGATTCACTTCTTTGGTATCATCGAGGTTATCTGCTTTACAATACAACATTTCACCTACAAAGTAAGAAACAGGGCAGGAAACCCTAATTTCATCAGTACCTGTTTGCTTTCCAATGAGAAATTTGTAATTCCCATCCTCTATTTGGTTTGACCAAGGGGGTTTAATCCAAACAATTGAGGAAATTTGTCCAGTAAAAGCTTCAACAAGAATCCAATTCTCAATACTCAATTTATGAAGCATAACATGGACATCATAAACCTCTGAAGCTTTGAGCTCACCTGGAATAAGCAAGTCAGGATGAGAGTCAAAGTGAACAAGTAGGTTGTTGGTGAATGGCAGATGCTTAGATCCAATAGCTCGTAAGATATGGTACAAAACATCCTGGTGATCCTCAACAATGTGAACTGGTATACTGGAGTATTTCTTTGTGGTCATTATTCAGGTGGGTTTTGAGCTTCTTGAATACATGTAATTTTTAGTTCCTCTTCCACTCTGTAAAGAGTAAAAAAAAAATAACAAATACATGTACAGTACTTTAATAAGTATAATATTAGTATCTGTATACAGTATGTTTGTACAGGTATAACAAAACTATGAGCAAAAAATAAAGGAAATGAGCATCAACATTTTAGCACTAGTAGGTAGTAGGCAGCTATCAAACAGGGATATTGGAAGCACAATGTGTTACTGTATATCGTTTCTCAATATTTTTTTTTTTATTTCTTTATAGTTCTTTATTATTATTATTATTATTATTATTATTATTATTATTATTATTATTATTGTACTATTATTATTAGTGCTGTTATTATTATTGTTATCATTTTTATTTTATTTTAAATTTTGTATTTTTTATTATAAATTTTATTTACTAGGAATTATTACCGGGGTATTTTATTTTAAATTTTGTATTTTTATTTTAAATTTTATTTACTAGGAATTATTTTAATTAACTTCCCTCCCCCAGGCCCCGATGTGGGTCAGAAACCTGTGCCCGGGTGGGCTAATCCCTGTGTAAAGAAAAAATATATTGGTATATAAAAAATACAGGATGTTTCAAAAATATGTTTCATAATTCGGGGGTGTATTCTCGAGACATACACACAGATAAATGACTTCAGAACCCTGGTGTCAATACCCTGCAGCAGGAGTGGCCAAAACATCGATCACGGTCTACTGGTTGATCACACCAATTTCTAGTAGATCACAGCGCTGAGTATAGTCTCTCATCAACAGTCGGTGCATAATCCTGTGTAGCATGCTGAGATTACCCATCAGAAAAAAGATTAGGACAGGTCAGGTCAGGTTAGGACAGATTAGGTTAGGTTAGCTTTTGAACGAACGGCGCATGTCAGAACATTTTCAGCACAGTACAATCTCAGTTCGTGACAGCCACCGCTGGTGTAACAGCACCTTTACTTTATATAAATATTCACTCAAATGAATAACACCAAGTAAGTCAGCATGTTATTCACGACTCTAGATAACTTGGTTTGCTTTTCTCTCAAAGGTCAACTGATTTAGCAAACAACCGGCTCACTCTCACGCCCAGAGAGGGCAGTTCACTTATTACCATTGGACAGGGAAGCTTGGCACTTAACTCAAGTGTTATCTCAAAGTGACATTTACAACACTTCCCTGGAGAGTCTCACACTATATTCTCTCAGATTGTATCTGTGTATATACAAGGGTGTACCTGCTTCGATAATAAACAGAAAATGCCAAGTGTTTACATCAAACCCTGCCACTTGAGAGTTCCAGAACTTAATTAAAACAATTAGTGGGATACCAAAGCAGCTATAACACTATCATCACATCCTCCGCCAGTTATGTTAGAGAAGATCATTTAAGTGTCGCCTACATTTCACTGTGCCACAAATTTTAGGGAAAGTTGTGTTTATCTGAATTTTTAACTGTTTATATGTTTTCGAGTACGCTGATGCCAAAAATGACTTTAGTTTTTTTTACAGCATCAACTGTTTTATCAGAAATTAGCAATTAGTTTTTCATCATTTATCAAATTTAACCAGAAATCAGAAGGTGAAATGTTGATATACCCTACATCACATTTTCTAATGAAATAAATGAAACGAGAACACAATTTTAGATTATAATGAAAGCATAAAACATGACCAAACAACACATTCCTTTTCTACACTTGTTACTAATGAAATTGAACAATAAACTATGCTAAATTCTACTCCTTGAGACGAGATGTCAAAACCTCAGCATTCTCCTTGGTAAGACCTAAATCCCTGACTAAGTCGTCCAGTTCGTGCTGATTAGGAAAATGTGGGAATTTGCTTGAGTCTGCTACATTAAAGTCAACATCCTCGCCCTCATCAGAAGATAAGAAGTCAGCATTTGAAATTGCATCTAAGGAAGGTGGACTGGGAATTGGTAAATGTTCACAGTGGGACACGGGAGCAATAGATGATGGTAGTATGCTCGGATACACAACAGTTCTTTGATCTTTACTCTTCTTGTACATAGATATGTCGACCATGCAAAATTAACAATCATCATGATGGTTGGTTTGTCCTCTCCAAATTCGAGGTATTGCGAATGGCATACACTTTCGGTTACCAATACTGATTTATTAAGATGCAATTGTAGAACCACTGTTTCCGACAATGTGATTGGAGTCGTTAACCCAATAAATTGTTGAAAAAGTTTCCAAGCTTTCTCATATTGCATAGAAATTTGGGGTCTATGACCTGCTATCACTTGGTTAACTATATTGGAATTACCCAACAATCTATTTAAACATCTTCAGAGAAACTCCAAGCGTGAAGTGCCAAGAATATCTCGAACTGAGGGTGCAGTACCTGGTCAAGACATCCTTGTTGCAATTGTAGTGGATGTGGACACCATTCTAACAGATCCAGACACCATGGTTGTAGGATCCAATATGGTGCAATTAAGAGGACCTTTCCCTGGAAGGATCTGAGTTTGTGAACCACTTTGGACATTTTCACAGGTGGGAACAGATAGATTGAATTCCAACAGTTCCAATCTATGAGTAGAGCATTTCCTATAAGATTTGATCGTTCCAGAGATGCATAAACTGGCATCTTGTTTTTTTTTGTGTGTGTGTGAGGCAAAGAGATCTATTTGTGGACTCTCAAACCTCCTCACTAGACTCTTGAACTTTGATATCTTTAAGGACCATTCTGTTTCTGTCGATACTGGCCTCAGACGGGACAACGCATCTGTTGTCCATGGCAAACAGAATCATCATGTTTTTGAAGTTTGGGTTTGCCAACAAAAAGAATAGAACTACTGCTAATTCTTTTATGTTCATGTGTTTGTTCCCAAAGGGAGTTGCTCCACTTCCCTAGACGAACGGTATCCCAATCCTATCTCGAACGCATCCGTACAAACGACCAAGTCTGTTTGAGGAGGAACCCAGGGAGATGAACCGATTAGATTGTCCAAATTTGCCCACCATGACAGATGAGTCTGATCTGAATTGGGAGAGAAGAAGCAATGTTTCTGTGAAGCAACTTTGACCCCAGATGAGCTAGTTGCTTCTTCCTTAATGTGCCGAAAGGAACTACTATAGTGGCAAAATTCAACAGACCCAGCAGTTTTTCCCAATCATGCCAAGAAACCTCTTGCTTTACACAAAAGGCCTCTACTTGGTTTATCACATCTGTTACCTTCGCTTCTGGTAGACTGACTGACTGCTGATTGGTGTCCCAATGGAGACCTAACCAATCCAATTTCTGACATGGTAGGAGATTTCATTTAACCTGGTTTATCTTTAATCCTAGGTTTGGAAATAGTACTAGTGTATGTTAGGTCGCCCTTTCACAGTCTTCTAAAGAGTTTCCCACTATCAGTCAATCATCTAGATTAGCAAAAGTTCTTATGCCCTCCTTCGCAAAGACCTCCTTGGGGATGTTCGCCAGATTTTGTAAACACTTTTGGCGCAATTGTCAGGCTGAATGGCATCGCTGTGAATTGATAACTTACATCCCCCACTGCGAACACTAGAAACTTTCTGTACCTGGGAGCAACAAGCATGTGATAATAGGCATCTTAAAGATCCACTTTTGAGAACCAAGCATTGGGTGGAAGTAGATGCCTCAGATGATCGTAAGTGAGCATCTTGAAACTTCTTTTTGTAGTGAATTTGTTCAGGATGGACAGATCTAAAATCCACTTTAAATTGTCGCTGCATTTCTTGGGGACTGGGAACATGAAACACTTCTCTGACTGCAACAGTTCTATCACACCTCTGTTTAACAGTTGAACTACAAATTCTGTGAGTAAGGGGGTTGGTTTTTTACCCCTTTTTGGTAACACTAGGGGAGGGCGCCTCAACCAAGTCCATGTGAGGCCCCCTTTGATTGCTTGTATGCCCATATGGAAGAAGTCCACCTGTTTTCCCAACCCCCTAGACGACCCAGCTGTCTGGCTTCATTGGGAGGGAGTGGTCACTGATGTGGTGGAATAAGATCTCCTTCCACCTCTGAACAAACGGCCACCCCTACTACGTCTCGAAATGTTTTCTCCTCTAAAGTTTCCTCTACAATGATGACTGAACCTAGCAGCTGGTCCTGTTCCCCTGTTAGACCTTCCTCTTCAAAACTTCCAAAAGGTCTTACAACTCTTGGGAGCAGTAATATAAATACCTTGCTCAACAGCTGATCTATGCTTAACTAATGTTTCTTCATCAAACAAAGCAGGAGAAAGAGGTGAAGAACGTAGCAATAAATAAGCACTATAGCGCGTTTTTTCCCAGCTGAGAAAAGATGAACCGCCCCCTCCTCAAGAGTTACAGCTGATTGGCTGTTGCAAACCTGTCCAATTTTGTCCTGAGTAATGATGTATTTTTAAATGAGTTTATTCATAATGTCCATTTCTGATGAGAAAGATATTTAACTTAATTATATAAAGATATTTCAAACATGAACACGTAGGAGTTTATCAGATATATTATACATGAATTAACTGATAAACTCGGGAAGCAAATTCACGCTTTCGGAGGATGCATTTAATATATACTTACTTTTACCTACAATAAGGCATACCGGTACTAAGACAAATTACTTATCAGTAATAGTACATTATGCAAAAACAACATTTTAAAACATCAGAATCACATTGAAATATTACACGGCCGTCAGCAGAGGCGGGAAATATGACTGCGAACTACTTCATATTTTTCCCGCCTTTGCGAAGGAGTTCAGTCCTGAGGGCTTCGTTTTCCCCCACAACACAACGATCCACAGAGGCCATTTCCTATGGTCACTAACACGAGCACTAAGGGGCACGTCCTTCTCCAAGCTAGGTCAGGTCAGTACTCATTACAGTAAAAGTCAAAAAATCCGGATGCCAGAAATCCAGACCACCTGAGAATTCGGACTTTTCGAAAACTCATTTTTTTTAGCTGGCTTTTGTGTGTATGTGCGCATGCATGAGCGCCACAGCTGCACAGCGACAACAAGCGACCACGCAATCACCACTTTAAAATGAGCAATCAAACTGACAACGTATGTAATTTTGAATCCTACTCTTTCCATTTACAGAGTACTGTACAAGCCCATAATAATGGCTCCTAAAGTAGATAAACTTCGTTGTGTGAAGAGAAAGAAGAACACGTTGAAATTGAGTGACAAACTTGAAATAATTAAGAAACTAGAACGTGGTGTGAGCAATATTTTTCTTAATGGAAACATACGACATTGGAAAGTCTACAATTTATGATATAAAAAAGGCAAAGATTAAAAATCTAGAATTCACAGCTTTTTCTTTAAAACTGCTCGTTTTGATAAATGAAGCATGCTATATTTGCTAATGAATAAACTATCAAAATGTACCTGTTCATCTCTTCTTTATTCCTCCTTAAATTTGAATTTTAAAAGTACTGCCTGAGAATCCGGAAAATCCGGACCGACCCAATATATATATATATATATATATATATATATATATATATATATATATATATATACTGTATACAGTGGGGTATGCTATAACGAACGGATCCTACTACGAATATTCCTATAAAGAACGGTTTTACCTATAAAATTGATAATGCTATAACGAACGAAACTCGTGCAACGAACATTATAATTTTTTTTTTTTTTTACTAATTTATTGTTTCTGTATTACAAGTATTAATGATATTCTTTATTTCAAGGGTTTAGATGCATATTTATGCACTTTTTTACAATTTTTACAATTTAATATTATATTTTTCAGTGTTAAGTGGTTGTATTTGGGGGCCTGGAACGGATTAATCCTATAACGAACGAATGATATAACGAACAAGGTTCTAGAACCAATTAGATTCGTTATAGCATACCCCACTGTATATACATTTTGATAAAATCACACGGGAAAATGGAAACAACGGAGTACCTTATATATATTATATATATTATATATATTATATATATTATATATATTATATATATACACACACACACAGTGAAAACGAGCCCAGGAGGGCGAAAAACAAACGTCAATCACTAAGTGACTTGAAAACAGAGAAATATTAGTCACGAAAGATCAACTGTCTTCGTAGACAGAAGACGAACTGGGGTCACCATGCTTGACCAGACCGTATTAAAAAACTACCCCAAACACAATATCTGAGAGACATAATCAAAATAAAGGTCACTCAAGTGTCTCACCGTGCTAAGATGTATAAATACAGAAAGTAAAATCTTCATGGCACTTAATAATTCAGCTATTACAAGTTTTTAAAACACAAATTAGCGGAGCTTTCCTTGTGCGAGTTTACAGCTGATTCACCAGGCAAGATGACAGTAGCAATGCGGGTGAGGGAGGGGGCTTTGAGAATTGCAATTAAATGCCAGGTAGCGACGTTTCCTCCTAATATTACGTATTTAAGTAATCATTAGATGTTTTAATTGCCTGTATGTTGACCTGGCGAGTTAATGCTAGGCATTTACTTACCTACTGTAGGTATAAAGCTGGACGTAAGATTCTGGATTGAACAAAAATATTCTCATACCAAAACCTGAGGAAAGCCAATGGACAAATATTTACCAGTACAGTATAGTCTGCATTTACGCGGATTTTGTTCACGCGTTTGGTCATTTACACGGCACCTTGCCAGAATGAAAATTTTAAGTTACGCGGTTCATTCCATCATTTACGCTTGAAGCAGCGCCTGGAGGGTGCGCATTAGGTCGCTCTTACGTTATCGCTGACGTCATATGACGTATCGGATTGTGATTGGGCCACGCTTCCTTACCACCCATGCATTCCCTCCGCCGCTAGCTGTGATTGGTCTAATGTAACATGACGTGCCCTGCCACCAGAGGGAAGAAGTCGCTGACCTAGCCGGGCCAGCCTCATTGTTCTCAGTTCTCCGCATATACAGTTCTTTCTTGTGTCCGCTATTCCCCCCCTCACAATGGCTTCCGCTGGACCCCCACCACCCCTGAGAAACCTTGAACTACCTGGACCAAGCCATGGTTATGTGAAGGAAATCATCGAGTTGGGGGAGAAAATCAAGCTCATCCTTGACAAAGACACAGTCAAGCATCGGTATGAAGTGTCTAATAACCTTCTGTCAAAAATTATGAAGCCGTATGTCCAGATGTATCACGACAACATCAATGCTAGTCTCGCCCGCAACCCACCACAGCCAGCCCAAGTCAACGATAGTGACAGTGACGATATGGACTTTGAGGGGTTTGTCAGGGAGGCCCTGCAAAGTGACGATATGGACTTTGAGGGGTTTGTCAGGGAGGCCCTGCAAACCTCTGAGTAGTGATAGTGATTCACCGGAGGGCCACTAAACTTCCTCTGCTCGGAACCAGCCGCCATCCACGGTGTACCCATCTCTTCTACTACCGTAAGAGTTAAACACCTATATATATGTAGTTTTTTATTTAGATATTATGTGTGTGTCAATACCATCATAAAATTAAGATGTTAATTTTACTACAAGGTACGTCGTCCGAAAAAGTGAGTTTGGGAGTCGGCCCAGTCTCTATTTCAATAAATCCCATATGTTCTGTTATTTCGTTTGATTTCTCGTTTTACGCGGACCTCCACAGGTTCAATTGACAGCGTAAATCCAGATTATAATGTAGTTGTATTATAATCTTTCTTTAATCCAGCAATATAAAATCTAATGTGTCTCAATGGTTATTTTTCATTATCCACCCATCACCATTTTCACATGAAAAATATATTTTTTTCTTAGTTTTCTTGCTGTTTTAGATGAGTCTGACATTTATCTTTGGGGCAAATCGCTGTTAGCTTTAATTTTTTTTTATAGGTTGGTTGGTTCCTTTGGTATGTGAATAGGTTAGGTTGGATACACCCCATTTCGTCACCAAAACCCCAGTTCGTCACCAATATCAAATCTGTTTCGTCACCACTAACAGTGGCTGGTATTAGTGACAAATTGTATGTTATTATTTTACTAATATAAATTACACCTGCATACAGACGACTCAAGAAGTATTGTGTTATTATTATACATGAATATTAATTATTTAATAAAGAAACAATTTAAACGTTGGTAAATAAACTAAATACAGAAGATATGAAGGTGATTTGGCACCAGCGCATAAACCTCCTTGCCCCTCCTCTTCACAGAGAAGCCTCAATGGTTGAATTGCAATTACAACTAGTTGCTCAGCACAAGCTAAAATCATGCACAAGAAAAGCAACTCATGACGAACAAGTACATCTCTGGAAGCTGAGAGATAATTAGGAAGAAAAAAAAATCACTTCTAATTTCCTAAAAAAATGCCAGTGTTTTCTTCGAAGCTTGCATGAGTATTAACAATGTTTTTATTTTATTTATTTTTTAATTTTAGCCTTTCACATATTGTTTAAGTGAGATGATTGCAGGCATATTAACAATGTTTTATTTTTAATCGTTTTAGTCTTTAATAAATTGTTTAAGCGCGATGCTTGCATGTTCCAATGTATTGTTATGCCGAAAAATTTGTAATACAATTTTGTAAACTAGGTGTCTTGACAATTTTCTATCCCAAGCAACAGTTATTTAAGCAAATTTAGTGAAATTTATGTGTATACAGTATATTGAAGCATTAATTATAAGAATTATCTGGAATGTATTGCCCTTGAAATGGTAATGGGAATGAACGTGGTGCCGAAACGGGTAAAAACAGTGGTGACGAAACGGGTAAAACCAGAGGTGACGAAATGGGTAAAACATGTGATGTCAAAACGGATTGGTGACGAAATGGGCACACTCCATTAGAAGGTTGGTTGTTGATATGAGAATAGGTTATTTTTGTGTATTACTCAAATCTGACCTCCATTTTTGTGCAAATTAGCAGTTTCTGTTAAAAGGAAAATTTTAATTTTTTGCCAAAAAATTTAATTTGAACAAAAAATGGTCAGATTTGAGTAATACACCAAAAATAACCTATTCTCATACCAAAGGAACCAACCAACCAATTTAACCTAACCTATTCTCGGTTAATATATAGGACTTACCACGGAGCTGCATAGCGTACTTAGTGATGCAGCCATATCATCTCACATCCAGAGAATGCCTCAAATTTCACCATATCATAGTAAATTCTTTCTGCTTAATATTCCGGGGAAGTTATGTATGTTTAGGTAGGTTTGTTTAGTTTGATTAGGCCTGTTCTTCATACCCACAAATGCTAAGTCGCGTTTAATTTAAAAATATCAATTGTTTAACATATTACAAACTACAAGTGTCCACAATAACATAAAGAAAATCCGGAGTGTTTATAATTGTTTTTAATCAATTTTGCCGTTAGTCCGATATAATTACCAACCAACCCTAAAAAAAAAAAAAAAAAAAAAAGGATTTGCCCCAAAGATAAATGTCAGAATCATCTAAAACAGCAAGAAAATTTGCAAGAAGTATAATCTTCATGTAAAGAGGTGATGGTGATAACGAGAAATAACCAACTCAATAACACTACTTGACATCATTCCAGGCAATTAAATGTAACAATTAAATGTAAACAAAAGACTATTGTCACAATCCTTGATGGTATATTAAAATTTCCAGGTTATATTTGAAATCTAACTAATGTATATTCAATGTATTGTCCACTGTTGGAAGTTTTATATGGCTGGTATGGATGAAACGTTTAAAATTTGTACTAAAAGAATTATTTGTCCTTGGTTCAAATTACCTGCATGAACTGGGATGGTCTCGCCGGATGTTGTTGGCCGACTCTACAGTCTTTATAACAATTGCTTTCAAAACTTAAAACCAACCTTTTACCTTTATTGCTTAGAACAACAAAAAGAAAGAATAAAGAACACTAAATCATATCACCAGTAATTAGAATAATATCAGAAATTAAGCCGTTAATGATATTATCGAAATTTTCAGGAATATTAAAACATTTGTGATAACTTATGGAATTCTTCCAATTAGTAGAATTATTAAATAAACGACTGAAATAAAACAATTAAAATTATTCATAACATGTAGGAAACTATTAATATGGTCTCAGTTGAATTATCTACTATTTTAAATTATGAACAGTTTAATGTGAAATTGTGGATAAACTCTATTAAATAAAACCCTAAAATAAACGACCGGGAAACAACCAAACTTGACTGTATTATTTAAATCATCAATAAAAATCATTTCAGTAATAATATCCATTTTTTTAAGAAGGTTGAGGGTTAGTGTAAAATATTATTGGAACACCTTTGCGACATCGACAAAACATATCACAGCTGACTATCATCACCAGGGTGGAGACGTGCACTGGGATATATTCGGTTGATATTCGTTATTTGGTGACTTGTGAGCTATTTTATATATAGATAACATGAGTGAGGGACGTGATGCGGACGAGGATGTGCTGAATGACTACTGGGTGACTACTTGGGAGCAGCAAACAGCACAGGAGTTGGAAAGCGAGGCAGACCACCACCAACACCTTCATGCTGAGGCAGACGCAGCCAACGAGAAAATGTGGGCGCTGTTCCAGAGTGCTGCCCAGTGTGTGGCTGTCATGTATAAAGGTGGGGCACACTGGCTCATATTACTAGTCTTTCTCTAATGTCAATAAACGAACGGTACATTTTCAGAAGACCTTCCCACATTCAATATAGACATAGTGCTGTGAAGTAATTGTCTCATTTGTTTTCAAATGAATTTATTTATTTTGTAGATTGATTGTTAATGATTGGTTAGCCCAGCCTTCCATTCAATCATCTAGTTATCAAATAAAGATCAGAGCGGAATTGAGCTTTTCTTGGGTTATGGGATATTCTTGGTGTAAATCACCATACTGTGCGTCACTATGTTTGTACTGGTTATTTGTTTGCTGAACCATTGTGAATTTATGTGAAGAAATTAAAGTGACTAGTCATCTATCTGTCCGAAATAATCATAGTACTGTAGTTACTAAATACATTTCTTATTTCTGCTCCAATACCTTTTTTTTTTTACATCAAGAATTCTCAACAGCTTCTTTTAGGGTAAGTTTGTAGTTCGTTATTAATGAGCTTTTGAAATATAAACGGACCCAATTGGAAGAACCAAAATTGGTATTGCTTTGGATCACTGGTTTTCAACTTCTGGATAATTGGGAATTTTCTAAGGAGGGCCTTCATGAATGGGCTATGTAATGTAACATGCATAGCCGTTACCCTGGCCAGGTGTATAATACAGCAAATATTTTATTTACCTAAACCTCAGCGATATCATTTTAATGTTTTTAGAATACTTTTGCCTAGTAGTTTTATAGTTCCCTGTCTCATTCTGCCACGGTTATCTTTTTTATAAATATAATTAGAAGTGAAGGTTAGGTTGTAACTGTGGCAGTGAAGGAAACATGACTTAAGAGATGGAGCTTTATTCCCATGTTTCGTCACAAGATTTTTCCAAGTCTTGTGATGAAGGCCACACTACCAATACCCAATGTATAGTACATACACTTATAAAAGAAGCCTTGATGATGACTAAGAACATGCACCAAGTCCATTAAAACCAAAAATGAGATTATTTGTTAAGTGTTGCTGATAAGAAGAGATAGGCCTTCTAAAAGGCCTGTACTACATTCTCCCCATCA